GGGGGGGGTTGAGGTTTGGGGATGGGGATGGGGGGGAAGGAAGGAAAGTTCTGCCGGCGGAGGGGCTGCTCCCGGCGGGTGGCCCCCGTTATGCGGGTGGGGGGGGTTGGTGGTGATGGGGGGTGTTGATAGTGATGGGGGGTGATGATGGTGATGGTGGGGGGACACACACACACAGAGGGAGAGGGAGGAAGGAGCGATGGCCGCGCTGTCCCCGCCGCCCCCCCGGGGGCTGACCCGGCGCCCCTGGCTCTGCTTTGCAGGAGACCTACAAGCTGCCCCACCGGCTGATCGAGAAGAAGAGGCGCGACAGGATCAACGAGTGCATCGCCCAGCTCAAGGACCTGCTGCCCGAGCACCTCAAGCTGACGGTGGGTACCCGCCGACCCCCCCTCTGCCTCCTACTTCAGCGGGCAGGCGGGGTTTGGGGTTTTTTTTTTTCCTTTTTCTTTCCCTCTTTTACCCCCCCCCAACTCCCAGTGGGCTGGGGGCGCATCCCAAACTTTCTTGGTGGCCAAGTCCTCGAGTGGCTCCGTGGGCTGTGGGGCTCATTGCCCGTGTCCCCCCCTCACCGTGAGCTGTGGGGCTCATTGCCCGTGTCCCCCCCTCACCGTGAGCTGTGGGGCTCGTTGCCCGTGTCCCCCCCTCACCGTGAGCTGTGGGGCTCGTTGCCCGTGTCCCCCCCCACCGTATCCCCCCTGTGCTGAGGGTGGGGGTGCAGAACAGAGAGAGAAATGAGAGACTCCTCTTTGGGCTCTGCGGCGGGACCGAGGACACCCCCTGGGATCCCCCTGGCAGCTTTCCCTGCAGCCATGGCAGCTTTTCCATCTCTTCTCCGGGAATACTGTCCTTCACAGCCCCGTGCTGCTTGGGGCTACGGCTCTGCCTTTTCTCCCCCACGGCCTGGGTCCTTCCCCCGTTAGTTAATTAATTGGCGAAGGTCGGTGGCCCCGTGGGGCTCCTGCCTGCCTGCGTGGCTGACGCCAACCTGTCCCTTTGCCTCCAGACGCTGGGTCACCTGGAGAAGGCCGTGGTTCTGGAGCTCACCTTGAAGCACGTGAAAGCCCTGACCAGCCTCATCGAGCAGCAGCAGCAGAAGATAATTGCCCTGCAGAGCGGTTTGCAAGCGGGTGAGTATCCAAATCCCGGCCTGTGGGATCCTGCGTGCGCTCCCCGGACTTTCTCTGGAAGGTGGTTGTGACACCTCGTTCCTGAGAAGGGAGGAGGCAGCAGCTCCTGCCTTTAATTGCCGGCGTTTTTCTCTCGCTTTTGTAAAAAAAAAAAAAAAAAAAAAAAAAAAAGGTGCGTTTCTCAGTGTGGTGGCTGCAGGGTGCCCTGTGGAGTTGTTTCGAAATGAAATTGGATTTTGAGTAGTTGTGTTTAAAGCCCAGGTTTGCCGTGAGGTTCTCTCCAAAGCCATTCAGGTCTTTCCCTTTATGTGCAGGAGCTTTGGATCAAACCCAGTTTGGTTTGTTTGGGTTGGTGGTGTTTTTTTGCTTTTTTTTTCTGAAAATACATATAAATCTGCTTTTTTATAGACACCTTTTTTAGGTCTCTTTATAAACGAGACTGTGTTCTGCAGGCGAAGAGGGGACCCGGTGCATCAGCTTATCATGCTTTAGATGTACTTCCTCCTTCTGTTTTCACATGTGGCACTCACGTGAATCTGATAAAGTAAAATTTAGGGTTTGGTTTTTTTTTTTTTTTTTCTCCTGAGGAGGCTTCCACTGCTCTGACAGCCACAGGGAGTGCAATAGAGCTTCCAGCTGGGGCCGAAATGGCCCGGGGTCGGGGAATGGCTGGGGACAGACGTGCTCCAGGAGCTCTGCCAGGGGCTGGGGGGGCGAGGGGCTGGGCTGGTTCCCCGGAGAAACCACCAGCTTCACTCACTCCGTGGGTCAGCACCTGTTGAAGGTGGCGTGTGCTTAAATACAGACCTAAAAAATAAGTTTGAAGCTATTACGTAAAAGCGGACAGACGGATGATTCAATAAAAACGGAGGGCTATGCAGGAATCGGGGGAATATATGCAGAAATCGGGGGAGGATATGCAAAACTCAGGTTGCCCTCGCTCGTTGTGCTGCAGCCGAAGTCTCCCATCGCCTGGAAGATGGTCCTGGAACTATTTAGCCCGCTGTTAATTTTTAATTCCGTTCTGTTAATGTTTCCTCAGGTGACCTGTCGTCAAGAAACCTCGACTCCGGCCAGGAAATGTTTCGATCCGGTTTCCAGATGTGTGCCAAGGAAATGCTGCAATACCTGGCCAAGCACGACAACGGCAAGGACCTGAAGTCGTCGCAGCTGGTGGGCCACCTGCACCGCATGGCCTCCGAGGTGCTGCAGGGCCGCAAGGCCGGGGACGCCCCCCCCAAAATGCTGGACTCCAAGGAGAAACCCGTCTCCTTGACCAAAGCGGGTGAGGGACACGGGAAGAACTGCGTGCCCGTCATCCAGAGGACATTTGCCCACTCCAGCGGGGAGCAGAGCGGCAGTGACACGGACACGGACAGCGGGTACGGGGGGGAGCTGGAGAAAAGTGACTCCAAATGCGAGCAGCAGTATTTCAAAAAGGATACCGACCTCAAGTACGCCGTCCAGGAGAGAATAAGCTCCATTAAGCAAGAGACTGAGGACCCGCCGGCCAAACGGAGCCGGCTGGAGTCGCCGGAGGCCGAGGGCCCTTTCGGCAGCGACGTGATGGGCTCCTCCGGCGGGTTCCTGGCCCCCCACGCGCACCAGCCCCCCCTGTGCCTGCCCTTCTATCTCATCCCCCCCTCCGCCACCGCCTACCTGCCCATGCTGGAGAAGTGCTGGTACCCGGCCTCCGTGCCCGTCCTCTACCCCAGCCTCCCGGCCTCCGCCGCCGCGCTCACCGGCTTCATGAACCCCGACAAGATCTCCCCCCCGCTGCTGATGCCCCAGAGACTCCCCTCTCCCGTCCCGGCCCATTCCCCCATCGACTCCTCGGCTCTGCTTCAGGCTCTGAAGCAGATTCCTCCTTTGAACTTGGAAACCAAAGACTAAGCGCAGTGTGACCTTTTTTTTTTTTTTTCTTCCCCCCCCTTTTTTTTTTTTTTGTGTTTTTTTTTTTTTTTTTTTTTTGTGGTTGT